CTACCTGAATTTGTTTATTATTTGTAATAAAAGAAAAAGAACATCAAAATTTGTTAAAGAATTTATTTACAGCATCATTTTCTCTTTTCTTCTGGTCTGGAGAGGCAATTTATGGAGTTTGTTTGTGAAAGCACTCTTAAAACTAGCTTATGATTTTGGTGCATTGTACTTGAAGGCTTACAGTCTGAAGTGTATTGCAATTGGTAAGACGAATCTGACTCAAAACTACTGCAATAAGCTATTAAGCATAAACATATAAAAGCTCAATAAAGCTCATTAGTGATGGGTGAACAATTTTCGGTTCAACTAGATTACATCTCTTCCGTTACACAACATTGGTAAGGGATTTTCACTCTGCTGTTTGGATTTCAAAGTTCTGTTCTTCATGGAATCTCTTCAAAGTTCGAACAGAATCTTCCCTTAGGCAGCAAGGCATGAAGATGGATTTGAGGACCAAATCCTAAAGCTCCTTTGACCTAGTATAAATCATACACGGAATGTGAATTTTAATTGGGTATCAATATCTGATTATATGTAGTCTTTTGACAAATAGGTACTTCTGGTAAGCTTCCTATTTTGCGAGGTATCTCTGGGTGCAATAAGGCAGCCTGCTAGATGCATTCTCACTTTCTTTGTTCTCCTTCAGCTTTCTGACATGGGTCAGCTCCTGCTGTATCTTGGTTTGCTCTTGGCAACATCAACAACTATCATCCAGCCATTAATAATCTACATAAGCCAGCAACAAGAAGACAGTCTTAACCCTTTTCCTTCCATAGTTTTATGAGACTCTTTATCTATTGACAACTAAGAGCTAAAGTACAAGAACTCATTTCATGCTTAAACCCACCTTTCCATTCATCTCTTTGAGTGCCGCACTAGCAGCCTCCTCTGTAGTGTACTCTATAAATGCATAACCTTTCGATCTCTTTGAAATTTTGTCCATGATAATTTTTACTGTCAAGAAGTAACTTTTTTAGGGTAGGATGGAGAAGATGGAGAATATTTTATAAGCATGAACACAATTTCGTCAGTACAAGTATTTAGTTCTCACATCCATAATTGATGATCTAGTAACAGGAATACCTTCAACAAGCTCACCAAACCCTTCAAAAGCTGCTCGTAATGTTTTCTCAGATGTATAAAATGATAAGCCTGTTTAAAAACAAATGTGGTTAGAGCATTTTCTCATGAGTTTTTATTTCTCCAAGAAGGCATTCATTGAGCCTATAATTGGCTACAAGGACAGAATAAACATTCATGAAAATTCACAATAATTTGTAAGGATCAAAATCTTTTCCCATTTTTAGCCACAAAATGCCACATTCAACAAGAAAAGGCATAATATAATTAAGCATGCATGCATCATAACAATGGGCAGGAAAGAAACTAACATATGTAAACTTTGCATTATGTTAAAGTTACAACATACCAGTTACAAAGAGCTTTTTACTCTTGATTGGGGTTGTTTTAGTTGCTTCTGTAGAGTCAGGCAGGATTGTCGAATTCTGCAGATTGTTCCCTGGAAAATTCCAAAGCATCACTGCAACTTAGAAATGGTTAAAGTTATAAGCAGTAGATGAAGTAAATAAATTTCTGAGCACATTGGTCATAGCAATCCTATCAAGTCAATCTAATCTCACATTCCAAAACTTGATACATGTTATGATACATTCCAAAACTTGATACGCATGATTATTACAACCAAATAGAGGCAAAAGGGGACAAGATATTTTAAAGGCTATATGTTCCTCTCTTTTCAGGCAACCTAGAAGGTAGCAGAGGGATAAATGACAATAATTCTCTCTTAATCTTTGCTGTCATAATTCCAACCCAAGTCTATAAAGCATCCTTGACAGAGCCATTAACCACCCCGCAACTAAGGGGGTTGAGAGTTGAGTTACATAGCCTTCTAGTTTCTGGACACCAGAAGAAAATGGCTCGGATGTTTAGTCTCCTTGTTGCACAGGAAGCCAGAACAGAAATATGTTTTTATCATAAGATTGTCAACAGTTAAGATCCTTCCCTTGCTGCCTCCTAAGCAAGAAAGTAAAGTCTCAGGGAAACTTTAGTCTTCCATACTGGTCTCAAAGGGAAACAAAATCAAAGATTGTCTCAGGAGCCATCAAGTGAGTGTAGCAGGCTTTAACATAGAACTCCCCATCTTTGGAAAGCTTCCAATAGGAGAGTTAGTAGAGCCAGGCTAAATGGATGTGCTCCACCATAGTTAGAAGAGAAATCCAATCTCTAATCTTCCTATCGTGTTTTGGAGGAGAGGGATGGTCCCTGTCCCTACCCCATTCTTGTGATTCTATCTCTTTATTCTCACTTGTTCTTTCTCCTTGATGTGAACATTTTCCTCTGTATTCCTTCCATATTATTCTATTTTTCCAGCCCCTACATGTCCCAGTTTCAAATCCTCACTCTTTCTCTTCCTTAACTCTTGCGCATTCCCTTAAAAAGGCGATTTTTAGTCAAATGGTTAAATCGTTCAGCCTCAAACATTCCAGATCTCCAGCAACGAGCATTTGACACATTACTTGGACCTCCCTCATTTCAGTTACCTTTTCCCCTGAACTTTGCTCAAATATTCTCCTAACATTCTACCTTTTCCTCCTAGTCAGTTCTCTTTTTACCTTATGATTTTTGCTAAAATAGTGCTGTTTGTTACTTTATTTGTCAATTGCTGCAGAATAGTGAGATTATGTCCTATATCTCGAGAAAAGATCATCCATGCAGGAAGAAACTAATCCAACAATAACTTAAGAGTGTATTGATAATGATTCAAAACTATTGATTAAAGAAGCACTCCAAGGACATACTTTGTGAAAGAGCTTCTGAATTTACATATGAAGTTCAAACAAGTAAACATACTGAACTGAGGATGAAAAAAAGACTAACCACCATAATCTTTATTTTCTGAGTCGAAACTTTTATCTGACTCAACAGCTAAAACACCAGGCACACCTGCACCATATGGAAGCATTTGTTATCAATCTGCAATACACTCCAAACCATATTGTGTGGGTGAGAGAGCATAAACAAACCAGCTAGCTCTTTTGCACATTCGTCATCAATTTCACAACAGAACCTGAAATTGGATTGCCAAGAAACATGGTATATGCACATTTGTGCATCCTTCTCACTGCCAAAAACAACTCTTTTACTTGAAACAAAAGAAACAAGACAATATCAGACAGCAGTAATCATTTTGATACTTACTTCCCCAAAACCTTGGTTAGGATTTGAGTGTAATAATCAACCATCTGTGCCTTTGTAACAACCCCCACTCCTGGCTTGTCAATTCGAACAAGCCAATGCTTTGTTCTTCGGGATGGAAATAATGGAACATTACCAACAAGTGGATTTGATAGATTACTTGATTGAACATTTGGAAGGCTATAATCTTTTTCTTCAGAATTATAATCCAGATCTTGTCTAACTAGTAAAACTCCAGGTAAACCTACAGAAGAAAAAAAAGAACTTACTGAATTGAACATCTAAAGCACAATCCCTATACTTTATGTCATGGCACGTACAGACTTCAACCTGGTAAAGTCAAGGATAAATTTTTATCCATAAATCAAAGAACCCACTTGAAATCAGAACATTAAATTTTCATTGCAAGCCAAAGAAAGACATAATCTCCAAACTAGTTGTGCAAACAAATTGAAAATACACACAATTCATAGACCAATAAAACACGTACGAGCAAGTTCACGGGATGCTTCTTCGTCAAGGTCACAGCAAAACCCCAAATGGCCATCGCCAGAAACATTATATATACACATTTGAGCATCCATTTTCACTGCAAGGAAAAAAGAAAAAAAAAAGAAAAACAACATCAATCCATAAGACGCGAAATAACCTAACAAATACAACGTCTGAACAAACATTAAAGCATACCCACTTCGCCCAATACTCTCTCTAAAGTCTGCACATAGTAATCAACAATTTTCTGGCTTTGGAATTCGAACCCTTTGAGGAGGTCTATCCATGAGGACCATCCAATGGGCGGGGTGTCCCGAAGCGGTTGACGAAGAAAAAGGAAGTTAAAGTAGTATCAGAGGGTTGATGCTGCGTTCGTCTGTGGGTAAACAAATGCGGGAAGTGGAGTACGAAGAAAAGGAAAGATTCAAATGGAGGACGTTGTTTGGAGGGTTGGGATATTTGATGTGTTGAGTAGCAGAACCAACGCGGAAAAGTAGTTTGTGAGGCTTGACAGAGAAACTGGTTGATAAGGTAATGGCGGCGGGTGAGTGAGAGAGAGAATCCATGGGTGCTCCAAACATTTCATGCCAGAAAAACTGCGACGTCTTCCCAACCTAATCTTCTCATGGTTATTACGTAGTTGATACTGCTGCTGATTTTTTTTTTTGTTTTTGTTTTTTGAGAATCTGTAATTTATAACCAAGAACTAAACTTTTACTTATTGTAATGTCCAACAGAGTTTTTTATGTTGACCCTTTTCAATTTCTTGACTTTGAGACGCATTCCACCTCATCTTTTTCATATCATTTCTCCTTCTCCATCATTTCATCCCTATTATGACCCTTTGATGATTGCATGACATTCTTGATCAGGTTCAAAATGCCGGTACTGCTGACCTTGACGCCAAAGAAGCTGTCAGTAGAGATAAGACAAGCATGGCAATTTGGGAAAGAAAATGAAGTCTTTTTGGGCAAATTCCAATTTAATTAATTAATTAGGATGAATCACATAATACAAATTATCTTTACATAATTCTTGATAAGTATAATATCATTTACACAGAGTATAAGTAAAACTACTTTGACCATATTCGCGTTCTTGTGCAGACTTCATCTTTATTCTTGATGAGACCAAAACTTCCTCAAGGTTTTATAGGAGAAATAAATATTTCAACTAAAAGAGTTTTCATTGAATTCATAATGGACATTTGACTGAATTCATAATGGATCTTTGGAACTTTCGGACCTTATTGGTGTCATTGAATGTAAATTTTCAGCATCATATACATACACTCTTTAATATTTCCATTAAGGGAATGTTATTTTCACATCCACCTATCACATTTCATAGTCATATTAAACTATAAATGCATTTTGTTTCTCTTTGAGCATAACCACTGGAAACCAGCCTTATCTTGTTAGTTTTCATACTTCTATATTTGTGCTTTTTCTTTTTCTTGTATGCCAACTTGCATCCTAGATTGCACTCTTTTCGATGGGTTCAGAAAGCTCCAGATTTGATTAGAATTCGTGGACATCATTTTATCTTATATAGATTTTTATATATTTTAACTCGAATAATTATATTTTAAATGTAGATACTAAATTTTTATTTTTTATGATAACTTAAACATTGTTATCAGTAATAAATTTATAAATAGAATATATGTCGCCTGACCTTGCGAAACACTTGAAGAAGAAGCTATGAGCAGACTGGAAAATGATTAACGATGACGGTTATTTCATCTCTGGCTCTACTCGGTACAATCAGCAATTAGTTTGGATCAAGTAGTATATTTCTGTTTCAAGTGCACATGCTCAATCCATTTCAAGTCCAGCTATGTTTTCTTCTCTCTTATAATTTCCACACTAATTGTCGTCATCTTTCACTGTTTCTCTTCTTGTTTATTTCTATTTTATTAAGCTATACTTTATGGATAACTAAGCTTCAGAGAAGCAAGTCGGAAAGCTCAAAGGACAGTCATAGTATATACAATCAAAGGGAAATCCTATATTGTCTTGGAGGTATGAGTAGTCTTTTAATATTTTATAGTAATTTAGTAACTTTTGTGTACTCAGCTTTTAGTATTAC